ATCTATTTACCCCAAAATGTGCTGGTGGAATTGTCAATTGTGTTTAGAGGTACTTCTGTAGCACTGATCATGTTGTGTTCTGACTTCTTGACACCTTTAACTGTTTTCGTATTTACCTTCAAAAAAACTCTTTAATGAATCCAAACTAAGATTGTGGTGTGTAACTGTGGGTTTCAAGCCCCTGCTATATAGGAAAGGCTTCAAAGACCTTTGTGTGATCTACCGAATGTGGTTGGAGTTCACGTACAGATCACCACTGACTGCAGTTCGCTATTCAGAATTTTTAACTTTATTCAGACCTTTATCCAGTGTGTATTGGGTTAGAAGAGAGATGGAAGCCTATTAAAAACATTGAGTGGAAAGCCTTGACTTCATGCTGTGCAGAGTAATTTTGGCTGAAGTTATAGATTGCATGTTGGAGGGCTTTAGGATTATAATTTGTGATAAGTAGGGTAGAAGTACGTTGTTCCCCTTTCTATCAGCTATAAAAACACTATCATATGAGTTATTAGTTTTGTTGCCAGGGTTGGAGGATTTAATCTGTAGAGAATGGCTGAATGGGCTGGTGCTATTTCCCTGGAGTGTCAGTGGCTGAGGGGTTACCTTAGAGAGGTTTATAAAATCATGAAGGGCATGGATAGGGTGAATAACCAAAGTCTTCTCCCCAGGGTAGGGGAGCCCAAGACTAGAGGGGATAGATTTAAGGTGAGAGAGGAAGGATTTAAAAGGGACCCAAGGGGCAACTTTTTCACGCAGAGGGTGGTGTGGGTATGGAATGAGCTGCCAGAGGAAGTCGTGGAGGCTGGTACAATTATAACATTTAAAAGGCATCTGGATGGGTACATGAATAGGAAGGGTTTAGAGGGATATGGGCCAAATGCTGGCAAATTGGACTGGATTAATTTAGGATATCTGGGTCAGCATGGACGAGTTAGATTGAAGTGTCTGTTTCCATGCTGTACAGCTCTATGGCTCTATGACTCTATAACCACTGTTAGTTATATCGGCTATCTGAGTGTAGTTCATATTTCTGTTAGTTTCCAATGCAAATGTCCACTTCTGCTTTCCACATTGTGAGTTATCCTCCCCACCCTGATTTCCCTTCTTCATCTGTTTGTGGGTGGCCTCCTGATTTTTGGAACCTTTTACACAATAGCTGCTGATAGGAAGCCATTCTTAAAGATATACAGCAGCAAAGAATTTAATCTCCTTCTTGCTGTACCTTCTATTTGACCTAATGATCAGAGATCATGCATGTACTGCACGGAATCTAAACAAACTATTCAGATAACAATTAAGCAAAAACTGGCAAAGAAATGTTCAACTGACAATAGTTGCAAAAAGAAAACTATTGTACTTTTAAGTGTTAATAAAACATGAAGCAAACTAGCAAAAATGTATATTGCCAATGCCAGCTAATGTCTTTTCTCAATATTTTGTCTAAGTGTATTTGTTAAGAACCTTTTACAGAATATTTTAAGCCAGCAGATAAAGGCTATTTCTACTTCATCTGTTAATGTATGATAAAATGAGTCACTAAATTAGTGTTCAGTACTTTAGAGTTCATCGTTTTTCACACACCCCCAGCAGTTCAGTTACACAATCGTTTACGTGTTTAAGTCCATAATGAGGAAAGGGATTTTGCACTAAACATGTATTAATGTCATAAGATCTCATAAGATTAATGACTATCTGTTATAGTTCAGGTGCATTACATCATCACTTTGTCTCTAGGCACTTTCTCAGCAGTTTTTGAACCATGCCTTAGATAAACCACTCGCGATAAAGTCCATTCTGTTGAGTCAATCAGCCCTCTCCCCCACCATCGGCTATGCAAAACCTCCAGGAATTTGGAGGAGGCTGCAGGATGTAACTCTTTGATAGACATAAAACATCTTTCCACATCCAGTTGTGGTAGCTCACAAACAAAAGCAGCCATCCAGAGAACTATAATAGTCTGTGTATGATATTGACTAATTTGTAGGGAAGAGCACAACCTGGTCTTAATACCAGCCTCCTCATGTCACTTCCTCATGGCAATGAGAAGCACATTAACCTTATATTTCTGTAAAAATACTCATTAGCTATTGAAATAACTGCACAGAGGCTGGTATCCCATCACCAAGTCACCCTTTCTTTACATGTGCACAGTACATGGGCTCTGACCAGCCAATTCAGAGCCAGTCCCTATAACGAGGAGAGTCTCTGAATCTCCTGTTCATATTTGTCAGCCAGGTCTCCCTGATTGGCCCAGGCTAATAGCCCCAATCAGGGCACTCATAGTCAATGGATCCACCTGGCCCTTGTTCCAAACACTACAACTATCCTTTATCCCAACACTCTTTCATCTTAGAAATAGATGGACAGCTTACAACACAGTTTACAACCCACTGCGTTTAGCACCTCACTGGCATACTAAGGTCAGAACTTTCATACAGGTGTAGAACTTCTCTGTCCCAACACAACAGGTATCATTCTTGTGGTGGAGGGTGTGATTTGGGGCAGATACTGATTTGCACATCCATGGATCACAGGAACAACTGCACTTAGTAAAGTCCAGCTGCCTTAGGCTGACTTGGTTTACACATGTGAAATGTCCAAATCATGACCTTGATATGTTAGAGTTGGTCGTGGAAGGCCTAAAGCTGTGAGAGTTCTTTGGAGGAGTAGTTTATTTAATTGGAGAGGTAAATGTCTTTTTGAATATGGTCCTGGAACAACTTTGGTAGGGACCAGCTGTCCTTTGGGTTAGGTGAGGTATCCTTTGGGAGAGGTATGGCACTCTTTGCAATTATCAAAAGTAGACATGAATGTATGTCAAAGTGCATATGCTCATTTTGAACTGTCAAGTCCTTTAGCTCTGTCAAGAGGGTTCTGAACAGAGCTGTGAACAGAAGTTGTTGGCATGGCCATCATAAGGAGCTGTCAAGCTATTGAAAAAAAATCTTGCTATTAAAAAGTTGCTTGATATTTTACTCTGTCTGATGACATAAGCCTGGAGGTTACCATCACATGTTAAGTGCTGCATTACAGATTTCACAACCTTAAATTATCACTGTGATGTACAAACGGTTTTATTGATAGTTCCAAATGGTTAACACTTTGGAATGTGACTAAGAATTTCAATGACTGTTTTTGTAAGAAAGTACACACAATCAATAGGGTTTTATGAGCAAAAGTGTATTTTTTTCCAAAATGTAGTGAATTTGTCAATGGACACTTACGAACTTTATTTAATTTCAGTATAGATGCTGAGGTCTGTCCAATGGTACATATTTGTAGAGTTGTCATGACAGGTGTAAGAGCAAGTTGGTGGGGATAAGCTATGGCACTAAATGTTGGCATGGGGCTATAAGGGGTTTTGGGGTTTGGGAACCGAGGCATTGGCCTGCAAGTGCGTTCTGCAGGGACATTATGGGGAGGCCATAGCCTAGTGGTATTATCACTGTACGGCTATTCCAGAGACCCATCTAATGTCCTGGGGATTGAGGTTCAAATCCTGCTGCCTGCAGATGGTGAAATTTGAAGTCAATAAAAACAAACCAGTAATTAAGAGTCTAATGATGACCATGTTGGGGAAAATCCCATCTGATTTTCTAATGTCCTTTAGGGAAAAAAACTGCCATCTTTCCCTGGTCTGGCTGACATGTGACTCCAGACCCACAGCAATGTGGTTGACTCTTAACTGCTCTCTGGGCAATTAGGGATGGGCAATAAATGCTGCCTGGCCAGAGATGCCCACATTCTGTGAACAAATAAAGAAAAAAAACTTTGGGGGTGGGTAGATATAGAAGGGGGAAGGGGGAATCGGGGAGCTGGGGAGGCATAGCATTGCAGGGACAGCTTTTTCGATTTATTGTTTTCTTTCATGGCTTCAGTAAGCTGTTGGAGCATCACTGCTGGCCTTCTGCACATCCTGCGGAATGAGGTTACTCTCTCCCACCTCCTTCTTGGCTGTTGGGTGACGATATCACATCATTGTCAGGTGCAGCAATTTTGTACACAGTCAGTTGAACCTTTTGAGCTTGAATGTCTTCTTTCAGAGTGTTTTGGTCCTGGTTTTTTTTTTCCCACTCATGGATGAAAAGAAATATTGATCAGGTCCTGGAGATCTGTGTATTATTTCTCCCTTCTTGGTCCTGTGGAAAAACAGCAACATAAAACAAATCTAGAAGTTAGTGTGAGGCAATTTTCTTTTTGGATCTGGTGCCAGCTAGTATCACAGAAGTATTAAATTGTATCATGCATTTGGTTTGGGAGCATCTATTGAAAAGGCCTGGAACATCACTGTACTTACCTATAATACTGAATAAATAGACTGCAGTCGCTCCTTACTGAAGAAAATGGAAAACATTGTGGATGATTCTCATCAGGTCATTTATGCACACCCCAATTAAAGAACCTGACAAAAATTATGCTTCACACCTGCCATAATGTTGAACATGACGAGGATGTTGCCAGGGTTGGAGAGTTTGAGCTATAGGGAAAGGCTGAATAGGCGGGGGCTTTTTTCCCTGGAGCATTGGAGGCTGAGGGGTGATCTTACAGAGGTTTATAAAAGCATGAGGTGCATGGATAGGGTGAAAAGACAAGGTCTTTTCCCCCAGGGTGGGGAAGTCCAGAACTAGAGAGCATAGGTTTAAGGTGAGAGGGGAGAGATTTAAAAGGGACCTAAGGAGCAACTTCTTCACACAGAGGGTGTTGCGTGTATGGAATGAGCTGCCAGAGGAAGTGGTGGAGGCTGGTACAATCACAAAATTTAAAAGGCATTTGGATGCATGTATGAATAGGAAGGGTTTAGAAGGATATGGGCCAAATGCTGGCAAATGGGACTAGTTTTATTTTGGATGAGTTAGGCTGAAGGATCCGTTTCTGTGCTGTACATCTCTACACTCTATGGCTCCAGCTTCTCCAAAAGCTACATGCCCTATTGTCCCGTTTTGCTTGAACTGCTCTCAAATCTAGGCTGAAAGACAAGAGCTGTCGAAGAAAAAACCTACCTGCAAGCTCTTTCGTATTTTGATCATCTAGATTAACATCTCCACGATAGGTAATGAGCAATGTTATTCCCTAGACGTGAAGAAACTGCTGAACATCCATCCCCCAATTCGCACCCAGTGCATCCAAGATAAGGCTCTTATCCACCGTTGGAAATGCAATGGCCAGTCAGCATTGACCATGCCTGGTTTGAATTCAATGGGTTAACTGAGTTTGACACTCAACAGTTCCATCCCCTCCCACTGTGGGAGCTGGTGACTTAATGGTGATGTCACTAGATTAGTAATTGAGTGTTCCCTGTCTCATTCTCTAGGTAATGCAGGTTCAAATCCCACCACAGTAGCTGGTGGAATTTAAATTCAATTCATAAAATCTGGAATTGAAACCTAGGCTCAGTAATAAGGAAAATACTGAAGTCTTACTACAAAGGATATGGTAACAGGCACATAGGAAAATACTAATTTCTTGGAGCAGTAATTACTGTTTTATAAACTGTTACATTGTTTTGGAACTTTGAAAAAGAAAATCTCTGCTTTCCTTATCAGGTTGAATGTTTTGGCTAATGAGAGAGGCTGAATAGGCCAGTTCTGAAGAAGGGTCACCGGACCCGAAATGTTAACTCTGTTTTGTCCTTCACAGATGCTGCCAGACCTGCTGAGCTTTTTCAGCAACTTTGTTTTTGTTCCTGAATAGGCTGGGGCTATTTTTTCTGGAGCGTCAGAGGCTGAGGGGTGACCTTATAGATATTTATATAATCATGAGAGGCATGGATAGGGAGAATAGCTAAGGTCTTTTCACCAGTGTAAGGGAGACTATTTAAGGTGAGAGGGGAAAGATTTGAAAGCGACCTAAGGGGCAATGTTTTCATTGGTGTGCGTGTATGGGTGGTGCATGTATGGAATGAGTTGCCAGAGGAAGTGGTGGAGGCTGGTACAATTACAGCATTTAAAAGGCATCTGGATGGGTATATGAATAGGAAGGGTTTAGAGAGATATGGGCCAAACACTGGCAAATGGGACTAGATTAATTTGAGATATCTTGTTGGCATGGACAAGTTGGACCAAAGGGTCTGTTTCTGCGCTGTACAGCTCTATGACTCTAAGAGAGTGATCAACAAAACAATGACTCCTGCAGACTTGATTAGCTGCTTGTTAGCAAACCCAGAAAAGGGATCCCGCAAAAAAAGATCCTGAGCTTCCAGGTACCTGTCACATCAACACACCACCTTGTTCCCCGGCCAACATCTCTGTCTCAGGTTTGCTGCAGTGCTCCAGTGAAGGTCAGTGCCAGCTGGAAGAACAGCATCTTATTTTCCACTTGGGGACTCTACAGCCTTCAGGACTTCATTTTGAGTTCAACAACTTTAGGACTTGACCTCTCCCATGTCCTTACCCTAACCCCCACACACCAGGCCTTGTTATCACTTAGTCTGCTATTACACACAACCTATTGTTTGTCACTAACAGTCCCCATTAACAGCTATTCACCCCCCCAGCCCGATCATTATCCACTCCTTTGACTGTTTTCTCTATCTTTTGGCTCTATAAGAACATAAGAACATAAGAACTAGGAGCAGGAGTAGGCCATCTGGCCCCTCGAGCCTGCCCCGCCATTTAATAAGATCATGGCTGATCTTTTTAAGACTCAGCTCCACTTACCCGCCCACTCACCATAACCCTTAATTCCTTTACTGTTCAAAAATTTATCTAGCCTTGCCTTAAAAACATTCAGCGAGGTAGCTTCAACCGCTTCACTGGGCAGGGAATTCCACAGATTCACAACTCTTTGGGTGAAGAAGTTCCTCCTGACCTCAGTCCTACATCTGCTTCCCTTTATTTTGAGGCGATGCCTCTAGTCCTAGTTTCACCTGCTAGCGGAAACAACCACCCTGCCTCCACTTTATCTATTCCCTTCATAATCTTATATGTTTCTATAAGATCTTCCCTCATTCTTCTGAATTCCAATGAGTATAATCCCAGTCTACTCAGTCTCTCCTCATAATCCAACCCTCTCAACTCTGGAATCAACTGAGTGAATCCCCTCTGCACCCCCTCCAGTGCTAGTATATCTCTTCTCAAGTAAGGAGACCAAAACTGCACACAGTACTCCAGGTGTGGCCTCACCAGGAGCCTATACAGCTGTAGCATAGCCTCCCTGTTTTTAAACTCCATCCCTCTAGCAATGGCAGACAAAATTCCATTTGCCTTTTTCTGCACCTGCAATGCCACCTTCAGCGATTCATGCACAAGGACACCCGAGTCCCTCTGCACAGCAGCATGCTGCAATTTTTTACCATTTAAAACATAGTCCATTTTGCTGTTATTCCTACCAAAATGGAAGACCTCATACTTATCAACATTGTACTCCATCTGCCAGACCTTTGCCCACTCACTAAGACTATCTATATCCCTCTGCAGACTTTCAGTGTCTTCTGCACACTTTGCTCTTTCACTCACCTTAGTGTCATCTGCAAATTTTGACACACCACACTTAGTCCCCAGCTCCAAATCATCTATGTAAATTGTAAACAATTGAGGTCCCAACACTTATCCCTGAGGCACACCACTAGCCACTGACTGCCAACCAGAAAAACACCCATTTACCCCTAATCTTTGCTTTCTACTGGTCAACCAGTCCTCTATCCATGTCAATACATTACCTGTAATACCATGCAACTTTATCTTATGTAGCAGCTTTTGGTGTGGCACCTTGTCAAACGCCTTCTGGAAATCCAGATACACCACATCCACAGGTTCCCCATTGTCCACCATGCAAGTAATGTCCTCAAAGAATTCCACCAAATTAGTTAAACATGACCTACCCTTTATGAACCCATGCTGGGTGTTCCCAATGGGACAATTTATAACCAAATGTCTTGCTATTTCTTCCTTAACGATAGATTCAAGCAATTTCCCCACTACCGAAATTAAGCTAGCTGGCCTATAGTTACCTGCTTTTTGTCTACTTCCTTTTTTAAACAGTGGCGTCACATTGGCTGTTTTCCAATCTGCGGGAACCATCCCAGAGTCCAGTGAATTTTGGTAAATAGTTACTACTGTATTTGCTATTTCCTCCATCACCTTTTTCAGTACCCTGGGATGCATTTCAGAAGGGCCAGGAGACTTGTCTACCTTTAGCCCCATTAGGTTGCCCAGCACTGCCTCCATAGTGATAATGATAGTTTCTAGGTCTATCCCCACCTATCGTTCAGTCCTTATCCCTCCTCCCACCCTAACGTTTGCATATAAACCGATATTTTCCTGAGGAAAGGTCACTGGACCTGAAACGTTAACTCCGATTTCTTTCCACAGATACTGCCAGACCTGCTGAGCTTTTCCAGCAATTTTTGGCCCAGAAAAGGGAAGGTGTCTGCATAGGTTCAAAGGATCTCAATAAAGTTTTGAAGAAATTTCACTACCCTATGCTAGATGACATTTTGTCATAATGAGCCATACATTGCTCTTTACTGCCAAGGTGAGAAGGACAGTATGATAAACCCAACGAGGCCCATTGGGAATCATTAATTAATCTCCTTGTGGTGCTCATTGAGCATATGTTCTGTTGGTAACAGGCAATAACCTGCTCAGCTGGAACTTAGTACCTGTGTTCTCTATAAAGTTAAAAAAAAGTAGGGGATGGGTCAGCAGGGACGGATCTGCAGAACTATATATCCCCAGCTGGTACTGACCTATGTGCGACTCAAATATTTTGGTGTCCAACAATGAAGGATGTTCTTTTCTAGTCAGGCTTATTATAGATGGTTACTGGAAAGTGAAGCTCAATGAAAGTTACGGTTTCTAACTATATTCTGGATATCATTTGGGAGGTACGGATAGCTGCTCATGCCATTTAACCTTTCCATCGCTCAGGAAGTTTAATAATGCAGACAGCATGATGCAAGCAGTGTGCTTCCTGGAGTAGAAGCTATCCTGGATGATATGCTAGGCAATGGATGTGGAAATATTTTGGAAAAAAATCCTAGCAGATCATGACCAAAATCTAATGTATCTGCTGGAGCAAGTTCACCAGGCGAACCTGAAGCTCAACAAGAAAGTGATGCAATTGAAGATCTGTGAAGTCACATATTGAGACTTTGCCCAGTTACTGACAAGATGAGAGCTGTAACAAAGGACTAGCAACCAACAAACATGACAGTGGTGCAACAATCTGTTGGATTCATGAATGGAATTAACACAATTCCTGCCTAATTTGTCATCAGAGTGTGAACTGCTACCCAAGCTCACTACTAAAATGTTCAGTGGCATTCGGCCACAGAATATGAAGCAGCTTTCATTAGAATCAAATGGCGAACAACAACAAAGCAGGAGCTGAGCCTTGGGCAGCCAGGCAGAGTGCAAACATTCATAACTGTCAACTGGAAGGTTATCTAAGATTACAAAGAGATGTTGAACAATTGTATCAATGGGCTGAGGAGCGGCAGATGGAGTTTAATTTGGATAAATGCAAGGCATTGCATTTTGCTAAAACAAACAAGAGCAGGACTTATAAAGTTAAAAGTAGAGCTTTAGGTAGTGTTGTAGAACAGAGAGACCTAGGGGTTCAGGTACATAATTTTTTGAAGTTTACATCACATATAGACAGAGTGGTTAAGAAGGCATTTAGCACACTTGCCTTCATTGCTCAGACCTTTGAGTATAGGTGTTGCAATGTCACGTTGAAGTTTAACAGGACGTTGGTGAGGCCTCTTCTGGAGTACTGTGTCCAGTTCTGGTCACCCTGTAATAGGAAACATATTATTAAACTGGAGAGGGTTCTGAAGAGATTCACCAGGATGTTGCCAGGAATGGAAGGTTTGAGTTATAAGGAGAGCTTGTGCAGTGATTGAAACCAGATGGATCTTGTTGACTATGAGATCCTTGATTGGGGCTGTTAACCTGGGCCAACTAGGAAACCCTGGCTGACCAATATAAACAGGAGATTCACAATCTCCTCAGTTCAGGGGACTGACACTGAGATGTGTACTATGCACAAGTCAATAAGGGGTGACTTGGTGACAGGTTACTGGCCTCTGTGCAGTTATTTCAGGCCTGATAGGCTCGGACTTCTTTCACCGGCACATAGAAGGTTCAGGGGTGACCTTATAGAAGTTTATAAAACAAAGAGGAGTACAGATAAGATGAATGGCAGGTGTCTTTTCCCTTGGGTGGGGAATTTCAAGACTAGGGGGCATATTTTTAAGGTGACAGGAGAAAGATTTAAAAAACACACGAGGAGCAATTTTTTTTACACAGAGAATGGTTTGTGTGTGGAATGAACTTCCTGAGGAAGTGGTGGATGCGGGTTCAGTTCCAACGTTTAAAAGATAAGTTCATGAATAAGAAATGTTTGATTGGAGTCAACTCCTTGCTCTGGAAGATCAACATGTTTCGGGCAGATCAAAGAACATCTTTCACTGAGTTGATGGTCCTCCAGGCACAGTCGATGTTTGCCTCAGAGTCCATTCCAGAGCACAGAACAACAGATGATAGAAAGTAATGTCCCGCCTCGTATACTTATTGCCCATCACACTCTCAATGGATGTTCAATCCCTTGACCAATCTGTTCATAGTTGCTGAGAGAGAGAGAGAGAGCTTGTTCATAGTTGCTGTTGTCTTCCAATCTTCAGTATCCCCACTTTGCCACAGGGGGATCTCATAGAGACTTATAAAATTCTAATAGGACTGGACAGGGTAGATGTAGGGAATATGTTCTCGATGGTGGGTGTGTTCAGAATCAGGGGTTACAGTATGAGGATTTGGGGTAGACGATTTAGGACGGAGATGAGGAGACATTTCTTCACCCAAACAGTGGTGACACTGTGGAATTCATTACCACAGGAAGTAGTTGATGCTAAAACATTGAATGTATTCAAGAAGCGACTAGATATAGCACTTGGGGAAAATGGGATCAAAGGTTATGGGGAGGAAGCAGGATTAGGCTATTGAGTTGAACAATCAGCCATGATCGTGAAGAACGGTGGAGCAGGTTTGAAGGGCCGAATGGCCTCCTCTTGCTTCTATCTTCTATGTTTCTATGTTGACTGTCTCCAGGCACTAACCTCAGTTTTTCAACTGTAACTTAAATACACCAGCAGGAGTCATCCTGCTCGGCTGTGCAAAATCTCCTGGAATTTGGAAGATGCTGCAGAATGTAACTCTTTGACAGACATCAACCCCTTTCCACATCTGCTCATGTAGACAAGCAGAATTTTTCTCTCTCTCTGTCCTGTGACCGGAAAACTACAACAGTCTGTCATAAGTCAATACGTTATGACACACCTTCACAGCAGGTAGCACCCAACCTCAGGCCTTTTGGCTCAGAGGAAGGGACATTACCATTGTGCCACAAAAGCCTTTAAAATACAATGAGCTACATCATTACAAACATAGAAATGTGTTTATAACTGGAGATTCTGCTTCTTCATTGTAGACAGTTGATGAGGAAGGTGCAATGTCACTAATCATGCAGAATATAGAAAGACCATCAGTTCCTCAATAAGATCAATGGATCAGCAACAACATTTACCATTGCAACAGCACTTATCATTCCCTGGTAGTAGACAAACATCAAACAACAACATGCACACGTTCCATTAGAAGACCTGTACAACTTAAAGATACTGTATGCAATGCATGGTCAGAAAGCAGAACAGGCTAGTAACAACACAGTCTTGTTCATAAATGATCGTTTTCCTTAGTGACTGTATTGAGAGAGTAATTTTTAACAGCAAATAATATTGCATTCAATGACAAGGAGGGATGTTCGGAGAAATTCATTTCTACATGGTTTACTCTGACTCACCATAGTTTTGTGAGATCTGCTTAGTTATGTTCAGTTTAAACATTAGCTATTCAACCCACAGAATCACAGGACTATTATGGTGCTGAAGAAGGCCTTTCAGCCCATTGTGTCTAACACCCAGTTCTTCAAATAAGCGTCATTACCTAATGCCAATCTTCTACCTTTTCCCTTGCACACCTTTTCTATCCATAAAGCATCCACTGACCCTCTTGAATGCATCATTTGTATTTGCTTCCACTACGTTTCCAGGCAGTGCATTCCACACCTTAACTACTTGCTGAGTGAAAATGTTTTTTCTCACCTTGCATTTACTTCTTTGGCAAATCGCATCTAATCTGAGCCTTATGGTCCTTCATTCTTTTATTAGCAGGAACAGCTTTTCCCTATCTACTCTGTCTAGTCCAACATGATTTTGAAAACCTCTATCAGATCTCTGCTTAGTTTTATTCTCTCCAAGATGAACAGTCCCAACGTCTTCAATTTATCTTCAGCACAGAAATGTATCATCCCGGGAGCTATTATAAATCACCTCTGCACTCTCTCCAATGCATTTGCTGTTTTCTAGAACGTGGCACCTACAGCTGTACACAATACTTCAGTTAATGTCTTCCAAGTATTTTTTATAACTTTAACATTCCCTCAATCCTCTTGTACTCTATGCCCCTATTAATAAAGCCAAGAACACTGAATGCTTTATTTACTGCTCTCTTCACCTGTCCTACCACTTTCAATGATCTGTGCACACAGACTCCCAGGTCCCTCTGCTTCTGCACCCCGTTCCGAATAGTACTCCCAACTTTGTATTGTCAGAGTTCTTCCAGCCAAAGAGCATCACATCAGATTCTCTGCATTGAGCCTCATCTGCCATCTATCTGCCCACTCCACCAACTTGTCAATGTCCCTTTGAAATTCTACGCTGTCCTCCTCACAGTTTACAGCTCTTCCAATTTTTGTGTTATTACAAGTTTCATGTCATTTCATGACATGGCATATATATCCATATTCACTTATAAACTTTGATGTAGTATTTTTAATGTACTGATGTTATTGCCCGTTGATTACAATGAATCTGAATGTGAGTTGTGGTCATTAATTAGCAATTCTGTTATTATTAATGTTACAGCCTGTCCACAGCAGTCTAGGTAATCATAATTCCATTAGTTTTAAAATAGCTGTGGAAAAGGATAGATATGTTGAAGTTCTAAATTAGAGTAAGGCCAATTTTTACAGTATTAGGCAATGACTTTCAAACATTGATTGGGAGAGGCTGTTTGCAGGAAAAAGGACAGTTGGAAAGTGGGAGAGCTTTAAAAATGACATAACGAGAGTCTAGAGACAGTATGTTCCTGTTAGTGTGAAGGATGAGGCTGGTAGGTGTAAGGAATGCTGGATGACTAGAGAAATTGAGATTTTGGACAAGAAAAAGAAGAAGGCATAATGTCAAGTATTGACAGCAAAGATCGAGTGAATCCCTACAGTATAAGGGCAGTAGGAGTATACTCAAGAGGGAAATCAAGAGGGCAAAAAGGGGACATGAGATAGCTTTGGCAAATGGAGTTAAGGAGAATCCAAAGAGATTTTACAAATACGTTAAGGACAAAAGAGCAACAAGAGAGAGAGAATAGGGCCCCTTAAAGATCAACAAGCCCATCTATGTGTGGAACCACAAGAGATGGGTGAGATACTAAATGAGTATTTTGCGTCAGTATTTATTGTGGAGAAGGATATGCAAGATAGAAAACTTGGAGAAATAAATAATGATATCTTAAAAAGTGTCTATATTACAGAGAAGGTGGTGCTGGACGTCTTAAAATGCATAAAGGTGGATAAATCCCCCTGAGCTGATCAGCTATATCCCAGTACTCAGTGGGAAACTAGGGAAGTGATTGCTGGGCCCCTTGCTGAGATATTTGTATCGTCGTATAGCCATGGGTGAGATGCAAGTAGACTGGAGATTCACTAAGGCAGTGTCATTATTTAAGAAAGGTGGTAAAGAAAAGCAAGGGAACTACAGCCGAGCGAGCCTAACATCAGTGGTGGGTAAGTTATTTTTAATTCATTCACAGGATGAGGGCATCACTGGCCAGGCCGGCATTTATTGACTGGAGGGCTGCTCAGAATCAACCACATTGCCGTGGGTCTGGAGTCACATGTAGGCCAGAACAGGAAAGGATGGCAGTTTCCTTCCCTAAACGGCATTAGGGAACCAAAGGGGCTTTTTTTGGACATTTAGCAATGGTCATCGTTAGACTTTTAACTCCAAATATTTATTGAATTCAAATTCCACCATCTGCCATGGCAGGATTTGAACCCAGGTCCCCAGAACATTACCTGGGTCTCGGGATTGACAGTCCAGTGATAATACCACCAGGCCATTGCCTCCCCGTTGTTGGAGGAGATTCTGATTTATACGTGTTTGGAAAGGCAAGGACTGGTTAGGAATAGCCAACATGGCTTTGTGCATGGGAAATCATGTCTCACTAACTTGATTGAGTTTTTTGAGGAGGTGAGAAAGAAGATTGATGAAGGCAGAGTGGTCGACATTGTCCATATGGACTTCAGCAAGGCATTCGACAAGTTCTGGATGATAGACTAGATTAGATCAAATGGAATCCAGAGACAGCCAGCCATTTGGATACAAAATTGGCTTGAAGGTAGGAGACGGAGGGTGGTGGTAAAGGGTTGCTTCTTGGACTGGAGGCCTATGACCAACGGTGTGCCACAGGGATTGGTGCTGGGTACATTGCTTTGTTGTATTTATATAAATCATTTGGATGTGAATTATGAAGGTGTGATTAGTAAGTTTGCAAATGACACCAAAATCGGTGGTGTAGTGGACAGTGAAGAGGATTATCTCAGAGTACAACGGGACCTTGATCTGACGGGCTGAGGAGTGGCAGATGGAGTTTAGTTTAGATAAATGTGAGGTGTTGCAT